CGAGGCTTCACCACCCATTTATCCCTCCGCCTTTCAACCAGCCCCACATGTGATTATCGGCCAGGCTGGCACAATTAACTAACTCAGAGGTCAAGCCTCCATATTTATACAAGACTTCACAACAATTGTGCCATGCTGTCAAAGCTCTATCCTGAACGAGCTCAGCTTAATTTTACAGGCAAGTTCTGTCAAACTGTAAAGAACTGGATAATTTCTAGTTTTTGAGCGGTTCCGCTGAGGGGGGAAAAAACAAAAATCTTCCAACTTAATCTCATGAGGCTATCACACCCTGACTCAAAAACCTGGCAAAGTGGCACCCCTCTGCCAAAAAGAACCACAAAAAATTGTGGTAGAACACTATCAATACCTTGAATACTCATTTACTAATACTTAAAATAGAAAATAATAATACATAAAAGATTGATAAATTAAATATAGCAGTGTATTAGCACCAATAATAAGGTTTCCAAGACTCTGAAACTTTATGGGAACAGACTGCCACGTGTCCCCCAAGAGCAGCTGGTAAGTGAACCACTTTAGGTTAGCACCGGAATGCTTGACCACTGCCCTATCAGGACTCCTTATAGTCAACACAGGTCTAAGTCAAACAAATCGTGGCAAAAACCTACTGACGCCATTCATCACTGGGTTAAAAATTAGTTCTTGGTTTAATAAAACTGTTTGCAAACTAAGAATTGAAGATATTTCCTCAACATCAGGATAAAACAGGTTAGCTGGGACTTTGTTCTTTGTATTGTTCAATGGTGTTTACAATGATTGTGTTTGAACATAGAATAAAGTTAATTTCAATTGCAAAGTTAAACAAAATGAGACATCATGGCTGACATAAATTGAAGGTACCCACCAAAAACCATAACTAAACTCACCACCAGACAGTTGATTCCAATTCATCACAACCCTATCTATCTGTAGGACAGAGGACTGCCCCTGTGGGTTTCGGAGGCTGCACATTTTTATGGCAGCAGAAAGCCTCATCTCCCAGGGCAGCAAGTGGTTTCAAACTGCTGAACTTGTGGTTAGCAGCCCAACATGTGGCCCACTAAACCAGCAGGACTCCTTACAATAGAACCTGGACAGTAATTAGGGTAACACTAGAATTAATCAATGGAGGAGGAAGAACTCTCATCCACCATCTTAAATTTTTTATGATGTTTTTCATAATCAACACAAGACAATTCATATACATAAGCTCATCAATATTCATTCAAGATTACTATTAAGAATGGACTCCTTCCAATACCTATCTTATTTATAGTGCAACTAAGACAGAAAATGGGATTGTATCAGATCTTCTATAACTACCAATTTCCATTCAGAAATTACTCTAAGGCTAAAAGTCTCTGCTAATAAAAACATGGTTTATTAGCATGTTTAAATTTAACAATTTAAAACAATGCATTTTAGTTTTTTTCATTTTATTCCATTAACAACCTCTATTAATTGAAGAGGGGAGGGGGGACCCTGTGGAATCAAGCAATAAAAGCAGCCATCTTGAAAGGACCAGAAGGAAGAGGTGAGAGCATCATTCTGGGGAGTATCAACATGGAAACAAACAAAAAGCAAATAATAATAATAATAACCAGCTGGCCTGGTTATGCCAGCATGCCTAACCAGAGTGCCTCTGGTCCTCACATTTGATAATATCACAGCTCAGTCCTGCACCAGTTCCAAAGTTAAGGAAGAATAAACTAAGGTGTGATTAAACAGCCTCAGACCACAGATCTCTTGGCCAGTTAAGAACCCCTGGCTCCAGTCACCCAATGGCCAGTCACACCCAGGAACCAGTCCATCCAGAAACGGTCTTGAGAAGCCAAGCCAAAGTCACAGCTCAGCGCATCCCTCTCCAATGTCAGGCAACTGGGCTTCTGCCGTGATCTACAGTCTAATAATCCAATCCTGCTATCTTACCTTGCTTGCACTGACTAACAATGTCTGGTGTCAAAGATTAGGGCTAGGTTCTGCTGTTCGCATTTTTCTCTCCAGATCTTGACTAGGCCCTACTGAGTGACTTAGTCCAGTGAGGAATGGTGCATTACAGTCTCACGGGGAAGGAGTCGAGTCAGATTTTTCAAATAAAAGCCATAATGCTTAGACTGTTAGCCATAGACCATGTACTCATCCTTTGTGAAAGGTCCAAATTCAATACAAAATGGTATGATTACACATAAGACCTTTTTTTTTAATTCCCCGACACAATTCCCTACCCATTTAACTTATTTAATTTAGCTTTATATCTATTTAGACTCCAAGACAGAAGCGCAATACTGGATGTATTCAAGTTATAGCCAGCATTTGTCAGTTCTTTGATTCTAGTTTTTAAAGTACTTAGGCTTGAATCCAGAACCCGCGGACTTTCAATTATTTGTGAAATGTCAATTTTTTCTTGTATGAGGTAGTCTATTTTATCATTAAACTTCTTCTCGGCCAAGAAGATCATATCTGGGTATCTTAAGACAAACTTCTGAACCTCTTCTTCAGAACACCCAAGAGAAATCAGCTTCTTTTTGATATTTGTGTAGTTTCTTTTGACATAGTCATTGGAAAGGTCTAGGGTGTAGGCTCCCGGGCCACATATCAGAGCCAGCAGTTCCTTGCTGGTCAAGCTGAAAGTTGACTGTAAAAACTCAATGTTTGCTTTCACTCGTTTGGTGCTCTGGATTAAAATAAAAGGATTTTTAAAAATTAACTTTCTGACAAAATCTGCAGGATCTTTGTGGTCCAAGGACAAAGAGACTGCTTGTAAAAATGCAACCATCTGTTTATTCAGCTCCAGACTATTGGAAAAGCTCCGTGGAGCGTTGGTTAACAATCGGCAAAGGCATTTCTGGGTCAATCCAACTGAGTAGAAGAACTTTATATTATTCTCTAAGTTTAGGTTGTTATCAGACCGAAAAAAGGATTCCGGAGAACGCTCCAAAATGCTGACAACGTCAAGATCTGATGCCATAATCTTTCTCCACAGATCCCACCGTTTGGAAAGACTTTCAGATGTGCGTATTATGGCTCGTGGGTATCTTGATATGATGCTAGCGATCGCTTCTCTGCTAGCTCCCTTGGACAAAAGGAACATCTTCAGGTCCTGCTCATTAGTAACCATCCTATTAAAAACTCCAGGCTGTCGTTTCTTCGCCATGTCAATATCTACTCCCATAGTAAGCAGGTTATTCAGTAGTTCCTTTTTCTCTGAAGATTCGCCATTCACAGTATGACACTTCACACCAAAAAGTCTACATGACGCTGAATTGAAGAGGATTTCTGTTGACGACTGGATGACCCAACATCGTGAACCCAGGAGGTTACTTCTCATATACAGCACGTTCCTTCCTGCCATGGTGTTCAGGTAGACCAAGCTTCTTGGAATGCTGTGTAAAACAACATACACGATATTAAGCAAACAACTTAGTGTTAAACAACTGAATGACTATACCATTATCCTATCAGCATCATGGTCGCTTGTGAAAGAACATACCTATGGCTGAAGCTCTCCCGGTGCTGTAGTAACGATTCAACCCCCTAGCACACTGCTCCTGGTCTTCACCCGTGCCTTTGGTCTGCTCCCACTCTGGGCATAAACAAAGCCAGGCGGCATCATCTCTGCCCCGGAATGATCCCTCCTTCATACTGCTTGGTTTATTCTCTGAGAATAAAACAAGGACACGGTCCTCCTTGGCCACCCCAACCAGCTATCGATGCTTCTCCCTCTATGCTTTGTCATCCTGGTTCCCAATCTTCAGCTTCTTCCCAGTAACTGGTACCTCACTTGTCATGTGCCCCAGCTTGCCAGGTCTTAGTTCTCGCCCCGTCCACAGGTAAAACCCGCTTCCTCTTGCTCCTGTCTCTTCCTTGTTCGGACCTACTAGTTTTCGAACTCTAACCCCAGTTGGTTCACAAAACCAACACCCCAGACTGTCTGATTTCCAGCTGAAATATTTCTTTCTAGTTGTATTCTCTTTGAAACTACTGCTTCCTTAGCTCAACAAGACCTCTGGCTCGACAGCTGATTTTAATCTCCATCTCACTCAGTTTTCTAGTGAGACCCCTTGGTTCTAATTTAACAACTTTCAAGTAACTTCCACCTTCAAAAGGACCGAGGGAGGCGGCGGTGGCGGCGGCGGCGGCGGCGGCGCTGGCGCTGGCCGGGACTCAGTTTTAGGAGTTGCCATGGAAATATATGAACACATAAAAGGTGTTTCTTTCACATAGTCCACCACGTGTGGAATTCTGCTGGTAAATGGCACAAAAACAATAAACACATACAAATCCTCTTCCCCCACCCCATCACCAAGGTACACAAGACTACTCCAGGGATGTCTGTGACTGTTTCACAGCACATGTAGCTTCTACAAACCACCTAAATACTGCCCAATACTGCTTGTCAGCATGGTTCAAAAAAGGAATACAAAATGTGGAAGTATGATAACCATTAAAGGAGCACTGCTATTTATTTTTTAGATTGTACTTTCTCCTCAGAATATACAGTTGTGAAAAAATTAGCTCTTGATCCAACTAGATGTCAGTGAGTTCGGTTTGGGATAACAGACTTTCAGTGACTTAAAGTGGACCTTTTCCCTTCTCCATAGAGCAAAAATAGACAAGAGAGGGACGGCTCCAGCCCTAAAGTCAGGACACTGCTGCCAGATCAGCTGCCAAGAAAGAGTCTTGGTTTCAGTCCTTTCAGCTACTCCAATTGTAACAAGAATTTAGATTGTGGGCTAAGAGCATTTCCGGAGCTCACATAGTTTACAAAGACCGAAGGGAAAAATTCCGAAATTGTAGACTCAAATACCATCGATGCCAAAATGCAGAACACTCACTAACGCAGCTTCAAGCTTGTTCTTCCTGGGTCAGTTATGGCCAATTGGGAAGTAGTTGATTTTGTAAAACACAGTTTAACTGACATGATAGCTGGAATGGGAAAAATGAGAAGCCAACAGCCTGCTAGAAATGTAATTTGCCTCTTAGAAAGCAAAGGCAGCCTGTGAAGTGAACCAAATCTCTTTCCCAGCAGAGTCAGAGACAATAGCACCCACCTCAAAGATGGCAGTTGACTACATGATTTGGAATATGTCCTGGCAGTAATCCAAATCTCTCGCATCAGGATCTTGACCCCTAATTTTTCCCACTCTAGTTATCATTCTGCATCATTCAAATTGTAAAAAGTCAGGTCTGTTCCAATTTTGCTCCCTCCACCCTGACTGAGATGGTTAGAATGAGTTCAAAGTCCTACTTTGAACCAATTATCATTCAGAAGCACATACAATTGCTCAGTACCTACTGAGTTCATTCTTCTTCACACCTCCACCTACTACCCTGTCTAACTATATACTCTTCTGAGCTACAGGAATTTATAACCTTAAAAATAAGAGCTTCCTTCTAAGGAGCCCTGATGATGATGTAGTTGGGCTACTAAAAGCAAAACTGGGAATTTAAATCAACTAGCCATTCTAGAAGAGAAGGATGAGGCTTTCTGCTCCCTAAAGGTGCACAGCCTCAGAAAGCCAAAGGGGCAGTTCCACTCTCTACTACAGGATCGCTATGAGTCAGAATCTACTCAGTGGCAGTGGGTTTTTTGCTCTGGTTTGGTTTGAGGTTTTTGGTTTTCTAAAGAATGAAGAAGGTTCCACCTCAAATAGCTCAGCAGCTTGGTCTCTGTTCCAGATGCTCAAGGGGGACTGCTCCTGGTTAAAGCGACACAACACTGCCAGCTGCAGATGAAGCCAGTGTTATCTAAGGAGGACAAGAGGATGCAGAAACAGTGAAACTCCAATTTATACTTGTATTAGCCTTTAAAGTCTTCTACTTTTTATTTACATTTTATATTGTACATCAAAATAGTACAGTTAGACCAGGGTGAAACACTAAGGGCATGTAACAGAGCAGCAAGGGGAGCAAAGCAATGAAGTCCCTGGGGAATATCAAAAATAGAATTTGGGGCCCGGGTATAGCACCCCATCAGACTCAACCAGAAAACACTCCTAAAGGTCAACAAACAGACCTGGAACTATTTGTAGGTTTTACTCTTTTTGTCGGTTTTTGTTGTTGTTGTTTTGGGGTTATTTTTTGGTTGTTTTCTTTTGTTATTTTGTTTTTCTCAGTCTTGTTTTTGTGCTTGTTATTGTCTCTGCATGTCTATCTAAATAAGATAGGGGAGATAAACAATCTGGAGGAGAAAACCATGGGACTAAAGGTTCCAGGGGGACACTGGGAGAGGGAGATGGGGAAAGGAAGTGGGTGTTAACAAACCCAAGGGATCTAAAATCAATGGTGAGGAGGGCATAGGATGCCTGGTGGGGCTTCATCAAGGGCAATGTAGTTGAGAGAATTACTGAAACACAAATGAAGACTGAACATGATAGTGGGACAAGAGGAAAGTAAACAGAAATAGAGGAAAGAAACAGGAGGCAAAGGATATTTAAAGCCGTCTAAATACAGGCATGTACATATGTAAATATATTTATATATAATGATAGGGAAATCAATTTATGTACACCTATTTATTTGTTAAGTATTAAGGCAGCAGGCGGACATTGGGCCTCCACTCAAGTACTCCCTCAATGAAAGAACACTTTGTTCTAATAACCTGGCATTCTGTGATACTCACCTTACCTGACATGATCGCTAAAAACATGGTGGGTGCATAAGCAAATGTGGGGAAGAGAGCTGATGGTGCCTATCTATCAAAAGATATAGCATCTGGGGTCTTAAAGGCTTAAAGGCCATCTACCTGAGAAGCAACAATACCTACATGAAATAAGCACACTAACCTGTGTGATCATAAGGTGTCGATGAGATCAGATATCAGGCATCAAAGACTCCGAACAAAAAATCATATCAATGTGAATGAGGGGGAATATGGAGTAGAGACCCAAGAAATTGCAGTGCAAGGCCAGCCCCTTCTCTGACTCCTCTGAGTCAGCATTCTCAGCGTGAACATGACTCATCAACTTACAGCCCTGGCGAACACAGTACAGCACTGTAAATGGGTTTTCTCCTCTTTGTTGATTGCCTTAACATTTCTTTGCTCTAGCTTACTGTATTCACACTGTATACACAAGGGCCCTTCACAGAGCCCTTCCTGTCTCGGGGTGGCAAGGCAGAAGAGCTGGAGGAGCTGGAAGAGGTGGGGTACAGCTCTATGGGAGTGCACAGCAATTTCCAACTCTCTCAAGAAAGGTTTCCTGCAGTACCAATGCTTCTTCCCCCATTTGACTCCGTCTCAGTGCCAGCACCACAGAGGGGCCCAAGTCAGAAAAGGTGTCCAAAGTGGTCTCACAGAATCGCAACCTGAGACGTGGTCAATCACTATAGCCCTGTCGGCCATAATTCCTCCCGTGGACTCTGCCTGAGCCTACAGTCCCATTTTGGAGGGCATTCTCTGGTGCAGGATTAAGGTGGGATGAATCTTTAGACTGTACTAGAGGGTGTGACTTAGTCCCCACTCTGTTTCCCTGTGGGTGTGGTCTGCGAACAGACAAACACTAGGCCTCCATCACAGGCATTGCTCTGAGAGAATTCCTAAGACTCCGGGCAGAGCGTGTTCCAGGTGTCTGTCTGACGTGGGGGAGGCCCCGACTGAGGGGCAGAGCGCGAGGAGCAGCACTGGCACCATGGGGCTGTGAGGCAGAGCAACAGGCGCGGAGTCCACAGAGGCACGGCTCTCGGGGCCATGTGGCTGAGAGGCTGAGGATCAGAGAGATTTGGAGACTGGCTAAGAAGAGGTGTTGCTGTAGACCTGTATCCTTATTGTCTATGGATCCTGACTTGGGCTGGTCTATTAACTTACCTATTAAACCCCCTTAACTGTATTATCTGTGAGTTCTATGTGGCCATTGCAATGAATAGAAGTAAAGTGTCGTGGGAGGAACAGTTTGGTGTCAGAATCAGTAAAGGAGGATGGAGCACAAAGGTATGTCTGGGACCTGCCTCTTGACAATAGGAAAGCCAGGGGAACCCAGAGGCCTCCCTGCCAGGTTGGTCTAATGTCAATTTGTTTTCTGGCTCTACTTCTTCTGTCTTCTCCCTCTTTGTCCGACGCTGGATGGGAGCGCTCCTCTCCCTCCAGTCATCTTCTAGTAAGCCCTCAATGCTGGTGCTGACTTCTCGTGGCTAGGAAGGAATGTCCTCTGGAGCATGCTTTCCAGAGCAGAGCCCTTTCACCTGCACTAAAACCCGGTTGAGGCAGATGTCCTTTGCCCTCCGTGATTTTCTTAAGAGAACCTGAGAACCTTGGCCTCTTGGTCAGCACAGTTACTACCTCCACATTTTTTAAGCCAACCCTCTTTCTAAAATTATCAAAGCCTTGGCTGGCATTAGGAGTCCTGGTAGTGGATGGTTACATATTGGGCTGCGAACCACAAGGTAAACAGTTTGAAACTGCCAGCCACTCCTCTGGAGAAAGACAAGGCTTTCTATTCCCACAAAGAGTTCCAGACTCAGAAACCAACAGGGATAGTTTTACTGGGTCCTAAGGGTGGCTGTAAGTCGGAACTAACTCGATGGCAGTGAGTTCTCAGTTGGCTGGCATTAAATTTCCAGCTTCCAAGACTTCACCCAATGACCTCACTGTTTCTGGAATCATATTAGAGCCTAGGAGTATGTATGTGTTTCTTACACCAACCCTACACCTGCAGAGAAGCTCCCTGTCAATGAGTTGAAAGGGGTTTCCCAAAAAGTACAAGGTTTTCATGCCTGCTGGCAGAATTGGAGCGACAGCTTCATGAATTTCTTTTTAATGATCCTTACATTGGATTGATCTCGAAATTGTGGGCAACTACATCATCTCAAGACCTCAATATACGGTACTTATCGAGCAAGTCAACTTTTTCTTGTCGTGTCATGACTTTTCTAGGCTTCTTGGGGGCACTTCTGGTATCACTAATGGCACTTTGTATGGGTCCTATGGTGTTCTTCAAGGGTTACAGGATTACAGTAAACATGATGAAAAGTACATGAGAATCGTAAGAGATCAAGTTTTACAATGATACATAATTTACTGGGAAAACGAACTGCTCATGCGGCACAGTCAGTGGGGACTCCCAACCCCGGTGCTCACATCAACAGCAACAGGATGCTGTTTCC